GGCGACCTGTCCAGGGTGTACCCTGCCTCTCGCCCTATGACAGCTGGGATAGGCTCCAGCGCCCCCCGCGACCCTGAAAAGGATAAGTGGAAGCGAATGGATGGATGGATGGATAACAAGTCAGGAGGTTGAGCTCTTCCAGCTGGTTACTATGGAGCTGATTGTAAATTGAAGCATGCTGAAAACAACTTCAAAATGTATCACATTTAGCTCCAAACTTCTTAAAAGTCTGCTTTGATATTGCTTTTCAAGTCACAGATATTTGCAGACTTTTTAATGTAAATCTAAATGTTACATAAACATGTTAAGTATATGTGCCAGTTCTAAATATTATTGGTTAAATCCAAATGTTATGGGAAACAAATTTGCAGTATTAACAACCCATTCATTCCCATTTGAGTGTTTCAATACAGCTGGATGATGCAAAAGACTAATGTACACAAAAAGCAATTTGGGGGGCGCTAGCCAAGAAGTTTGCTCAACTGTCGGCCTCAATGTAATAGCAGGAATACACAAACCTGCAAACAAATTGTTGTATAGAGATTAATTATTGGGCAGCATTTAATGACTGACAAACGACTCTGTTACTTTAACTTCCCCTTGTTCAGTTCAACTTGCTTTCCCCCCTTTTTTTAAAATACATTTTAAACAATTAATCACTATTCTCTTAAGGCAGTGTATATACATAAAAGCGATCCATTCGAATAAAAGGCACACCGATATCTTTTGTTAACTGTATCATTTTAAATAATTTTTCTTTAAAGTTCTCCTCATTATTCTTCCCACATTCCAAACCAAATTAGGAGTCGGGTTTCAAGATAAGGTGCCAATGCCTTTAACCTACTGGGCGGTTTAAACTTTTCACACACTGAGTGTGTTGTTTTCTTTGGCTCTGAATATGTAATGTAATTATAGCAAGAACCCAAAGGTCGACAGAAGAAGAATACCAACTACTGTAAACCATACAGGCCAGTAGAGGTCTGAAATATACTGCTCAAAAACTGATCGTGCTTAAACCACAAATGAGATCTTTGTGAATGAAATGTTTAAAAAATATATTACGTAATTTTTTGAGAAAAAACAAAGTAGACAGTCAGTGAAAAACAAAGCCATAAGCTTTCTAAATTTAACTAAAAGGTAAAAGTTTTATTTCTCGGGTGTTTTCTTAATTAATAAATGTACGAAAATAATAATCCTCCACTGAAAGCACACCGTGTGTCTAAGACCTGAAACAAGCACTGTTACCTGTGTTCCTCCTTAACATAGCCCTAAATTTTCCTAACTTCATACACTGTTACAACTCCGATTTTTCTTAACCACCTGGTACAGGTGTAACAGTTGTAACAGAGTGTCTTAGAGATGTAGTGTAATTTTACATTGGTTAAGTCTTTTCGCAGATCGCAGATCATTCATCCCAACAGCAGTTAGACTCTATAACTCCTCAATCACGATGTCATAAGTCACTGGACACTGTGAACATCCACGGTCACCACTTCATGCATAATGGACCTTCCATGACCTTCCAAGCTATATAGTTTATGTCTTCCATATTTCCAAGTATATCCATAATCACATACTGTGTATGCTACCATTGTATATAGTGTATTATCTTACTTTTTTTCATTGATTGTACTTAATTGTATTTTTGTATTTCCTTCATATATCTGTACTTGAGCTGAGGTGACGCAAAAATTTCCCCGTTGTGGGATCAATAAAGTCTTATCTTATCTTATCTTAACCACGTGCTTTTATTTTGAAAGCAAACCGCGGTTCGTTGTTCTGGAGTCTTTCCACGTCCTCCGGCTATAAAACAATCATCGTCATATTTGCAGATATAGTCCATCTCAACATTAAGCGACAGCCTCACTAAGCGAAGACATGGAAACATTATACAGCCTTCTTGGCTTAGAGTGGATAGACGGCAGGAGCATTTTAATCTTTTTGTTTGTTCTTCTGCTTACGACAGAAGTTTTGAAGAACAGAGTGCCAAAAAACTTTCCTCCCGGACCGAGGGCTCTGCCTTTCATTGGAAATCTTCATCGCATCAGACCTGATAGAATTCATCTGCAGTTTGCAGAGGTATACATACT